AGCATTTTTTTAAGCTCCATTCTAAAACTGCAGTTAATGTAGTAGGACCCAGACTGAAGGGTCACACCAGGGTGGGGTCTGGTTGCTGCACTCTCAACAGATGTTTAGCTTCCTTATCTATATCCTTCCTGCACTGTTAATGAAAAAGATATCAGGAGGTGGTACCTGACTGTAGCAGGGTTCACTGAGATGGGCACTTCCCTGCCCTGCCTGGGGGATGAGGGTGAGAGGGGGCATGCTGTGTACCTGCAGGCCCATCACCTGCTATTTGGACAGCTTGGCATCCTGTGTACTGTGGGGCACCCCAGTGGTCATCGTCCTGATAAGTGCCGGGCCAGGTCCCTGCTACAAGAGGTATCCTGAGGTCATTGGTGATTAAGGTGTGAGATCTTGCCATACCTGAATGTGGCCCTTAGGAGTTTTGTACACCTATAATGTCAAATACATCCCCTGATACAGTGGGAAAATGGTTCTAAGAATCTATATAGATTCTTTAAAAAAAAATGGAATGGTGACCATCTCCCTCCCCTGTCCGTGTGTATAGAATTTAGAATAGAGGGCCTTTGGTACAGAAAGATATCCTTAGACAATATTTAAATGCAAATATATAACTAACCTCCTCTTTCTGCTGCAAAAACAGGGGTATGCTCCAGTAACTAATAGGTAACATCCATACCAATGAATGGTAAAGTAAGGTATAGTTAATACCTATAACACTGAAGGACTGAGGCCCCTGACAGACATGCAAGTAAAGAAGCAATGGGATCTGATGTGAGATCCTCACAGTCGCACTTCCTGTCATGTTACACTTGCATGGCAGGAGATGTGATTGTGGGGCCTAACATCAGATCCCATGCTGATGCAGGGGGAGACTAGGATCAAAATCATGATCAGTTAGTAGCAAGCTTCTGTAGCTGGGAGCCCTCTCAGCTGCAGGGGTGCACGATTCACTCCTGAGACTGGGAGCCCTATCAGCCATGGGGACACACCATGTCTGGCCCCATGTACAATTAATGGTGTGATAAGAACCAGCCACAAAGTGGTTATATATTTTTTGTGTAATACCTTTGTGTCTTATTCCTTGTTTTATCATGCTTTTAATTGCATTACCATGTGACTGGGTCATAACTTAAGATGTGACTAACTAGTTAATCATGTCTTAAGTGTAATGTGTGCCAGAGATCTGAGTTTCACTATCAACATTATTCAGCAAAGTGGCATTAAATTCTCATCCTGTAATGGAGGATGAGGGCCTAGAGATGAACAGTTAAGAATTTGGTACTGGAACGCTGCACAGCTTGAGTTATAGGTCATGGAATATGAGGGTATGGACCACGGGTTTGAAGTGTTACAAGTGAGCTAAATTATTCTAATGCTGCCAGGATGCAGTGTTAAAGTTGGAAAGGTTTGGCTACCTTTGTATCCCTGTAGGCTGATGCATAACAGCTGCTGCATGCTCCCAAGCAGAAGCATCATTTCCTTTTGAAGCAGCTACAAATGTACATTTGTCCATACTGGGGATGTTTTCACTTTTTGAACTGTTTGATACAAAGCAAATGGCAATGGCCGGAAGTTAATATTTGATAGTTGTTTGACAATCTTTGTCAGCTCTGCTGGTGCTGTTAAACTCGTAATAAAGTATGTACATCTTGGAAACCATTGATTCTTTTGGCTTAGTTGATCTCTGCCAAGCAAGCCTGAGGTGCTTTGGCAGACCAGTTTGTTGCTTCCTATATAGGTAAAAATAGACCTTTGCTTGTAGAGGCACCTATTTGCCATTATGCTAAATAATTAAGTCACTTGTTATCTAATTTTGTTGCTGTTTTTTTGTAGCCTAAATTATGAATGAGCAAGATAAAAATTCCTGATTATAAATTTAGCCCCTAAATTGATGATGAAGGGCTTATGCTTTTTAATAAAAAGAAAATTAGTCATATAAAAAAACAAACTGTTCCAATTAACTTCATATTCATTTTAATTTCAGGCAAGTATTTCAGCTAATCAACCAGATTCTTGGGTCAAGTAGAACTAGGGCCTTCCCTTAAGATCAAGTCGGTTTACTACCAAGCTATAACTTGATGAGGCTCAAACTGAGTACATGTGTAAGATGTGAGGAACTGCAAATAATCCCATAAAACACAGGTGTTAGCATCAAGGTCAATTAAAAGAGAATGATAACAATATTTAAAAGGGAGTTAGCCTCCCAGACATAATTGCTTTGCATTCTTCTAGGCCAGAGGTAAAGTTCTCACAAAGTGTTTATATTTATTATTTGTTCTGCCGCCTTTGTGTCTTGGATTCTCCTTCCTTTGTGACCCCTGACTGTAGCTCCCTTTTAATCTTCCTCAGCAGTTGTTTCTCAGTGAGTATTTCAAAGATGATGTAGCTTTCTCCTCCATGTTGCTTTTGGTAAACTGGCTACAGTAGTGTAAAGGAGGGTTAAGAATGTAGAGAGCTGTCAGAGGGCAAAAAGTTATTTTTGAGTCCAAAGATCAAGTGTTTAGTACTGTAAGGTTAGGTTATCACTCTTGTTACCCAGGAGAAGAGCAGGAGACAATGTTGAAATCTCTCTTGGACTCCAGGAGCTAAAATGAAAGCTCAGGGTTTTGAGCTTGGGCCTAAAGCGCAACGGGGGAGCGGACACACAGCCACAGAGTATGTGTGCGTTTGGGCATGTGCCGTCCTTTCTATGCCCTGGAAAACTCTAGCAAGGCTGCATTAAGATAAGTGCTGGCTATAGCTTCCTAGGTATCATACATGAATATTCTTCACACAGTACTTGCAGGCATAATAATGTCTCTTGTACTTGGGTCTTGCTGTGCCGTGACCAGCTGGTTAATGTGTGTTATGCAACTTTGCCCTGTTTGACTGTTATGGAATCATCTGTTCAAGTTCCCAGATGTACAATGTAGTTTTTAACTCGCGGCCTAGTTCACCTAATTGTCAGGGTGCACCAATAAAGATTTTCTTAGCTGTTACTGATAGCTGATTATTAACCAGCCATATCGGCTGATACTGATCCAATATCTGATTTACAGGAATGCAGTCGGGCAGTGTGGAGAGCAACTCTCTGCAAGTGAGTCTGGGTGGGTGGGGGGGCGCAGATAGAGGCCCCCATGGTGAGGGAGGAAGTAGGGCAGGGGTTGGGGCTGGAGACGTTGCCCAGCCAGAGCAGTCAATGGAACCTGGGGTGAGGGTGGGGAGCAGGATGGACTCATGCAGGGGATCAGCATTCTGGTGCTTAAAATTGGCAGCGGTGTGTGTGTGTGGGGGGGCGGGGTTTGAGCTAAGGCTTGCCGAATGAGCTTTAGTCTAAGTGCTGCCACCAGCATTTTTAAGTGCAGTAAGGCTTTCAACCAGAGCAGAGCTGAGCTGAGTGGGACGAGGGCAGTTGTAGGCTGCTAGCTGTGGACTCAGGGCTCTCTGTTCTGCTACCTTTGCCCCAGGAGCCCCGTGTCAGCTGCAAGTCCCCTGGCAGCGGGAGGCACAACTCGCTGCCCCCACTGCTGCTGGGCAGCTGGGGGCTGCACGGCTGAGGTGGAGCCCCTGGGGTAAAGGCAGCAGAGCAGAGCCCTGAGCCCACAGTGGACAGCTTGCATCTGCCCCATCCACAAATCTGGGGGTGTACATACCCAGCCCATGCCTCCTCTCGGGGGTGCACTTAGTACAGGGAACCACCCCCTCTCACCCTCCACACCCTGTGGACAAGCAGCCTGTGGCTCCATCTTGCTCACTGCCCTGCCCCTAGGTCCCATTCATGGCCCTGGCTGGGCAGTGCCTCCAGCCCCTTCCCCTGCCCTACTCCCTCCCTCACTGTGATGGTCTCGATCTACTCCTTCCCTCTTCTACACCCCTTGCTCTCCACAGACTTACCTGCAGGGCACTGATCTCCACACTGCTTGGCTGCATTCCTGGCCATATGCATGTGTATGGCTGCATGCATGCATGTAGGGTCTGGGGGCCCCAGCCAGAAGGCATTTTATATTTATCAGTGACATTATCAGCTACATTGGTCAAAAAAGCTGATGGCCATTAATGTTAATTTTCCTCTTATCAGTGCTGCTCCGATATGTCACCGATCAATGTTCCCTCTAAAGTTTTTAGCAATCTGTGAGCAATCCTGACTGGAAGTGCATGGGTGTCTCAGTGTGCCTAGCCCCCTCTCCTCCTGCAGCAGCCTGTGGCTGGGTTGGGGTGAGTGGCAAGCGGCTGGATCCAAAGCCAGCAGTGGGGGGAGCGCTGGTGCCCCACTGTGTGCGTGGCATTAAAAAGTTATTGCGCAGCATGATTTTTTTTATTGTGCATGGCTGCACACATGTGCAGCTTAGAGGGAACACTGGCACCGATAGATCAGTGCACCTCTACCTACTTGTAGTTCAGGAGTTCCCAAGTCCAAGCTGTGGTATTGGCCACAACTTCCAAGTTCCCAAGAGAAATTTCTTATGGTAAAAACAGACATTGGGTTTATCCTGAGTCTGATTGTCCTGGGTTTTGACTCTCATTGGACATCTGTTTACACATGCATCTAGAATGGCACTTAACTCAGATTAGTCTGGGTTGTTATCTCAGATACTCTGCAGGGACAATGGACTTGTAGGACTGTAGGATCTCAGAATAAAAGGCTTTGTCCTGGGAGAAAAACCCACATCTGTTTTTGGCCTTTGCTATTAAATTGCTCTGTTTCCATGTCTGCCTTCTGCCAGCCTGATCCTGCATACCCGTTTGTGTGAAACTCCTGCTGAAGCCAGTGGGAGTTTTGCATATTGCAAATGTGAAGAATCAGGCCCAGGAAGTATGAATGACTGTAGCTTCTGACTTGAAGATGCCAAACGAAATTCCAAACTGCCAGATACAAAAGTACGGCCTCTAATTTATACCTGGATTCTATTGGACAGAGAACAATCCTTTGAAACTCTAAGCTCTTTCCTCAGACATCACAGGGGGTAAAAAGTGAATTAACCATATCATAGGCACATGGTACTTCCCTGCTCAGATTACACCACAAAATCTGGGCAGTTCCTAAAACAGAGCTGGGAAAGGAACTTGTGAGTTTAAGCAACACTAGGAAACAGAGCACTAGTAACATAACAGAAGACAAAAGGGTAAAGGAAAATTTTACTGCTTCTACAGTTCTGCACATCTGCAGGTTAGCAGAATTCATTGTTAACTGGTTGTTTGTTGCACATTTATTGTGAATAGTGTGAAATAACTGCTTTAGCTTTAGTTTTGCTCTATAAAATGTGTTCTGTTTGTTTCAGAGAGATCTTGCTTGTGTTTATCCTTTGACTTTTTTACTGACTTAGTTCTCTAAAGTCTAAATGCTTTCTAACTGTTAATCAGAGTTTAATATATTCTTAAATATCTTGCATTTGATACAATTTAAAGACTTAGGTATCTGTGGAATGATTTGTTGTATAGTCTGTTACAGTTAATACACTGCTTAAAGCTATGGCTACTCTGCACATGGACAAAACTCTAACAACATAACTTTCTGTAAAATATTCCATAAGCAAAACGTGTTTGTATTATTAGACAGATCTCGGTGAACTATTTTATTCTCTCTTCAAAAGTGAGCTTGTTAGAAAAACAATTATTTCTAACTCTGCTTCTGGCCTTTTGACTGTGATTTCAGAGCGGTTTTTACCTCACATACTGAAATGAAAGTTAAGTTTGTTTTTGTTAATGTAAGTCAAGAAGTAGCAATGATTCAGTGTGACAGGCTGAATGTGAGCCATATGAGTTGAGCTAGACAAGCATAAAGGATGATTGTATTGCAAAATATCTCCAAGTAATTTGGATTTTGACACATTTATCACTTCTCCAGTTGCATTTTTTTCAGTTTCTTTTCTTCCCAAAGGAAAAAGTATTTGATGTGATGGAAAAATGTGTGCATTGTGTACGGGAATAGTGTGTTCTTGGTGAAAGCTTCCCTGCTGCAGTAAATTTCTCACTGGAACAGAAAGTCTTCTCTATGAAGACATTACTTGTCATGCCTTACTTAAAAATGACTTGCTAGAAATTTTGAAGTGAATCAACTTCAGATACTAATTTTATCACTGTAGCAGGCTGTTAGCTAGTGATTTCTCAGTTTGCTAGATAGTCTTTTCTATATGCAGTGATATATGGTATTCCACAAGCAGCTTTCAGTTAATAAAGATTACATCTTCATTGTGGCATGTAGAGTGCAACTCATACAACTCTCATTAATGCCACTGACTGGAGTTGCATGTTCCCCAAGATGAATGCCTATCCCTATGAATTCCATAATGTCTGGCAGGGTTCCAACACTCATCTAACCCTTTAGTGGGGTTTTTTAAAGCACCATTTTTACATACTTTTTAATTTTTGTCTTCTGCATTTGGACCTTATGTATCAATGTTATATAGCTCACAAAGGCTGCAAATGGATGTCCTATTTATTCCGGGATAAACCCTTGTATCTGGCGTAAAGGACAAGCATACAGATGTCCATTATCCGAGAATTGATTCTAAAACAAGTTTCCCAGGCAAGAGGTAGTAACAGTTTATTCTCAGGATATTGCAAACTACATTTGTAAAGTTATCCTAGGATTGCATCATTGAATCAATAGCAGAAAATCAGCACTGCATTCAACTACTCACTAAACCCTGATTAGAAGGGCAGCGTGTGTCCACACCCTAATCCCAGGATATTTTTGTTCCGGGACAGCACAGGTACAATTTATCCTGGGACAAATGTAACATCTGTTCCTAGCCTAAAGGAAAGCTGTCTAATTTTGTCTCAAAACATTTGGATTAGGTTAGGATTATATATCTCGTTCTATTATTGGTAAATCTATGAATTACTCCACTGGCACAGTCCATATCTCACTGAAATTATTAGGAAGACTAATCTAAAACTGAATTACATAGGAATAGGATTAAGTCCATTATGAAAGAAGGTCTAGCTCATTATATATTCCTTACTGCTTAATACCATGTGTGAAATTTTAAGGAAATAAACCAGAAAAAAATGTTTTCTTCTCTCTTTAAGAAAAATCCCAGTAAAAAAAGTCTATCACCAGATTCCAAATTATTCCTTACTTCACGTTTGCAAGAAACTATCCAATGTATGCTTTTACTTTATGGAATGTTAAATAGTTTCTGGCATTACTGTGCCCTTGCGGGAAGAACAGATGGTACTTTGAATATATTTTGCTATGGGATAAAATGTTCCAGGTCTTTGACAGATTATATCCATCTGTAAGGAAGAAATAGGATTTGTGTAAAGTAAACATGATAGAATGAAACAATTTCAAGTGAGTTTTGAAAGGAAAAGCAAGTTATGTGGAAGCATGTTCCTGTGATTGTTCAGGTGATAAGCAAATTTATGGTACTTTTATTTTCTCCTACAGTGGGATACTTTTATTTTAAATGTAAATATATTGTGTTAAATAGATACTAGTGAGAAATTTTAAAGAAATTAAATACTAGCATTTGGAAGGCCATGATCAACGTATAACACAGTGGTTCCGAGGAAACTTCACTATCTAGTGGTATATCGAAGACTGGATAGGTGTTTAAGGCCTATTTAAGGTCTTTATTTAAGGCCTAAGGCATTATGATCATAAAGCCATGTGAAAGGGAAACACCAGCATTCACAGTTGCTCAGCCATTCATGGCCAGAAGGCAGGACTAGCAACAACAGGGTGGACAGCAGTAGATGTAAATGGGGGCCAATCCCTGAAGGTCCATATCTCTTACCATTCTACTGTTGGTATAGTGCATCATGGTTCCTGTGGTCGCACAGCTTTGTATAACTCTTCCCCCCGCCCCGCGTTTTTAATTTGGTTCCATCAACAAGCTGCAATATCCCTGTATAGTTTGAAGGAGACTGCCATGAAGTGGCATGTTAAATGTTTATCTCCTGCAAGTCTTTTCAGTTCTCTAACCTAAACTCTTTCCAGACAGTCATATACTACTAAGAACAGCCATTCCCAGGCTCTAATTACTCAATTTCTGGCGCTCTGGTTGACCAGAACCAAGAGGCAGTTTTGGAGTTCCAGAAGGGCTAATGAGGTTAGAGTGATGGATCGTCTCTGAGTCATCTTTTCCTTTCCTTCTATTAGTCTCTCATTTGATGGCCAAGGGTTAACAAATTTTTGCCAAAAGGAACTAAAGGTTTCTGACCTGGTCAGATGGGGCCTTTATTTAAGTATGCTAGGGCCATCAATCACTAGGCATCAATTGAGTAGACTGTGTGACTTGCCTAAGGACACGCTGGGTATCTGGCAACGCAGTGAATTGAATCTGAGACTTTGGTGGCACAAGCAAGTCTCTAACTACTGGGCTCTCCACTTACCCATTCTTAAACAGCCCCCCATGCCCTCTGCGTGCATATACCAAGTCAGGACTCCTCCGTACAATTGCAATTTTTTAGAAGAGTGTAGGGCACTTAGATGCCTAATCCCATTAAAATTTGAATACTGAACAACCTCAGGGTCTTCGAAGGCGTAGCTGAAGAAAAGCTGTAACAACAACTGTTTTGGAAGAAGCAACAGCAGGGTTCAGTGAACCTAGACCTAGTAGATACAAAGTACTCTGTAGATGGCTAAAATATCTTGAGTTGGAGTGCATGCTTGAAATGACAGGTGTACACAATGACACAAGAGTGTGATAATACCGGTACCATGTTTCACTTTGATTTGTAGTATGCAGAGAATTGAAGTTTGCAGTCCCCTATACACAAACGGTTGTTCAGTGTTGTCTATTGCAGCATTTTCTCTATACTGGATAATTTAAGATGACAATGACAAACTAAGTTTTGGAAGCAATTATGGAAAGAATGTGTAGTTTTCTGTGAAGCCTGTTCTTTTCTTAAACCCACCCCAGCTGGATTTGAACCTGTGACTATGCTGTATAATAGTTTTGAAATAATCGGGATAGGGAGGGACCAGGGGATGTGGCACAGGCAGCAAAAATGTCTCTGTACAGGCCTCCCTTGCTGACAGCAGATTTTTAGCTGGTCCTGTAAGTGAAGAGGCTAAAACAACAGGAAGACAGACATTGACACCTTAATGGGAGAATTCTAGGGAAACTACGAACTGAAGTAGCAGGGAACACTCAGAATTTTACTCTGACTTGAATTGGTATTTCTCTGATATAGTGGAAGCTGCATTGTAGTTGCCGTCACTGAGGTTTAGTTATATTGCAATCCCACTCTGTTTTCTGTCCGACTGTATTTTTCTTTTCAGATAGATGGAGGCCCAATTTGAATACCATTTATTTCTGTCTTATTTATTTTATTTTCTCTGTACTCTTTTAATGCTGGACCATAGCTAGCATATGTGGGACAGTGTATATTTGTTCATTCTTTCTTCCTTGTATTAATGATTTTTTTCCTCTTGCTTAATTCACCTTATGTTTGTAATTTTCCTCTTCTGGAAAATAAAAGAAGAAAAAATTGGCACAAAGTGAAACACTTTATATGGATACTATCAAATTCAAACAAGTTATGTCACTAGCCCATATGAGGCTCTGGGACAATTATTAATGAAAATCAGTCTTAAATTAATACTTTGTTTTGTGTGTTCAACAAAAACAAGATGTTGCCAGAAATAAGTTTTCTTGCTTAACCTAAATGTTCCTTTGTAACACCAATGCTTATTGAAAAGGGGTGTATGGGTATGTGTGAGATCAGGGGAGTAGCTGCATTAAGTATATTTACAGTAAGGAGTGAAATTGGGAAACACGTATACTGAAGGTTCCATCTCTGGGCCCCACATAGCACTGTTGTCTGGATTTGGGCCTTTATGAAAATAGAAGCTGTTCTTAAATGTTGTTTTGCAAAAATTCTATTTCCAAAACTGTATTTTATTTTTAAGAGTGTGATAGGATTGATTGGCTGTTTCTGGAAGCTTCCTTTGTTTTCAAAGCACCATACATTCCCCCCAAAATGAAAGTTTAATGTTACTTAATTTTCCAGAAAATTTTGAAAAACTTATTACATCATACATTAGAATTAAAGCCAACTTTGCAGCTTCATCCTTCTCTATGGACTCCTTTTCTGCATTTTGACCAGTTCTACTTTTAGCTGTCAGTTAATGTAGTTCTTTTGTGCAGTAGAACCTGGATTCTTCCTGGGGTTAGTTTCTTCACAAACTAGCCAAGGGCATACACAACCACAGGA